CTTGCTAGGGGAGCACTTATTCCACTGAGCCATCTCCCTAGCCCATAGGTCAGTATTTTGAGTTAATTCAGGACATGAAGGCAGCCACGACAGTGCCAGTGAAGACACTTATGAAAGGACTTCCAGAACTGCTTCAGAAAGCAGTATGAACAATGGGCTAAGCGTGTTCAAAGCAAGAGGGATGTGAAGGGGGTTAGTGGCAATATGACTTGTGTGATTTTTTAAAAATTAAACATCTATTTTTTTAGTCACACCTAGCAATACTTACTGTTAACAGGTTAGAAGAGTTCTGCTATTAAGGTGTCAATTTTCCCCAAATGGATTTATAGATTAAACATAATCTCAAACAAAATCCCAATGAATTATTTTATGCATAGTAATAAGCCAATTCTACAGTGTAAGTGGTAGGACAAAGGGACTTAGTCACAAAGATTTTGAACAAGAACAAAGCTGAAGGACTTATGTTACTGCATTTTAAGATCTAGTGCAAAGCCACAGGTGGTCATATAGTAGCAATTTGGTGAAGACAGTGTTGTGTGGATAAAAACATAGGTACATCTGTCCAGAGTTCAGAAACATGATCTATGTTTATCTGGTTAGTTGTTGAGTTTTTTGTGTTGGTTTTGTTTATGAAAAGACAGGAAAGCAGAGAAAGGAGAGTCCAGTCCCTTTTAAATTGGCACAGAAACAATTGGACATTGTTGAAGAAACCAAAGAAATCTTGACCAGTATCTCACTTAGGAAGGAGAAAATGAACTCAAAATGGATCCTAGATATAAATGTAAATATCCTGCAGCTCTAAAACTTCTAGTAGAAACCACAGGAGAAAAGCTCTGTGACCTTCAGCTGGGCGCTGCTGCTCTTACTAGATAAACACCGAGTGCAATCCGTGGAAGAAAAAGGTAAATTGGGCTTTTCATCCAAAAGCCGCTTGTGTCATTAGCCAATTAAATGTGAGCGCAAGTGCCATATGTCATTTCCACGCAAAAGCTTTAAAAGCCAGGGTGGTCTTCAGCCTTCTGCATGCTGTTGACATCGGGCTAGGCTGTGTAATTGTTTCTTTTCTTTTGGCCAATGAAATCTGAACAAAATTAGTGCCTATTACTTGTGGCAGAAGCTATAAAAGCCAGGGTGTGCCTTGCCAGTCTCTGCTCTGTCTTGCTGTGGCTTAGTCCCAGACACAGGCTGCCCTCGGCCTTGGTTAATTAGCAGAGGACATGAAGCGGGACACAATCTTGCAGCCCTGCTCATGTAGAATGTGTGGGAAATTATCTGGGTTGTGACCCTGTCATTTCAAGGTTGTAGCACAAACTAGCTTCTTTCCTGATGCAACTTCATTTAGAGTGGCTTTTAGTCGGTAATATCTCAGAATGCAGCATTTCAATGTAACCAGTAACGTATCTTCAAATCTCAGGAAGGGTTGGTTTATTTACATGGAAATTTTATTTGTAAATCTAGTCACAACCACAGTATATGGATTTTATTTTATTATTATTTTTTTTTTTGGG